AGGCTGTAGGGCAGTGGCACGATCTCAGCTCACTGCAACCTCTGCCTCCTGGGTTCAAGCGATTCTCCTGCCTCAGCCTCCCGAGTAGCTGGCATTACAGGCGCCTGCCACCGGGCCCAGCTAATTTTTGTATTTTTAGTAGAGACAGGGTTTCAACATCTTGGCCAGGCTGGTCTTGAACTCCTGACCTCATGTTCCACCCACCTTGGACCTCCCAAAGTGCTGGGATTGCAGGCGTCAGGCACCGCGCCTGGCCAACATCGCTTAAATGACATAGGTAAGCAAAGGAGGCTTTTTTTGAAATACGCTCAGGCTGAGAAGCTGCTCCTTGTGCCTCCCCGGCCCGTTCCACCTGCCCCCCGTTGCCTGGGCCTAGACGGGAATCCTCCCTCCCCCTCCCGCCTCTAAATGCCTTCCAAGCCCCCTGAGACCCAGGCCCCTCCACTCCACGCAGAACCGGTTCCCAAAAGGGCCGGGAGGTGGCGCCCGAGGCCCGGCGCCCCATCCGGGCAGCCTCCAGTTCGGAGGCAGGGGCTCCCGCTCCCCTTCCCAGACAGTTCGTGTGGCGCTTTCGCTGGGGAGGAGGCCACGCCCGGCGCAGGGCAGCTCCGGCGCTTTCCTCCTCCCTGTCTCTGCCCTCCGACTCCCGTCCCTCTCCTCCCTCGCCCCTGTCCCAGGTTCTCCTTCCTGCGGACTAAATTTAGAGGTGAGGATGTGGCCGCCTGCATGGGGCGGGCGGGGAGGTCAGCGGTGATGCCGCCGGATGTCTGCCAGCCGGGCCGGGACGCTGCGTCAGGTCGGTAAACACGCGGCGTGCTCCGGAGGGGCCGCGCCAGCTGTGACGGGACGCCGCCACCCGGGGCACCCCGGACTGACGTGGCGCCGCGACCCGCCCAGCCTCCGCCCCCGCGCCCCTGCCCCAGGCCACCCCACACACAGTCTCCACTGCGGGGAAGGATGGCTGCAGGGGCTCTCACACCTTACTGGTGGAACCCCTCCTTGAAAAGCTGCTATGGGAGCCGGGGTGCAGCAGGTATTAAACTGGGGGTCCCCCTCACCCCAGTGTCCCTGGACCACCACCTCTGAAAACCAAGGGACCAGATAAGCTCTAGCCTTGGGAAGCCAGGAGAGGGAACTGGCACTTGGTGCCAGCAAGCGTCGTGCATGAAAATAATTTGTCAAGTGCCTCAGCTACATCATGAGCGGACTGTCTTTAGAACTGACTGTGGAACCGACCCTGGGAATGCGGGCAGCCAGTCTGCCTTCAAGATCAGCACAGAAAGAACCCCCAACTCTCAGCACGGGGTCCCAGAGACTTTGAACTCAAACAGACATGGCATGTGGAATGTCATGCAGGTAAGCAGGGGCCATATGAGTCCCCTGCACCCCTGAACCTCACAGCTAATCCACAGTCCTGTTTCTCCTCAGGCCCTGTCCCAGATAAGCCCCTCAACCCCCGGTGCCCCCAGGAAGCCAGAGAAGCCCCCTACACAGCCCATAGAGGGCAGAGAATGAGTCTGTCCTGTGGCCCCCATATCATCTCTTGGGGCCAGCATACCCTGGGGTCCAACTGAAAGGGAGAAGAGAGAACATCGCCAGGGCACCTACTGTGTGCTGAATGCCTGGTGAGGAGTGGAAGGGAGAGAACATCGCCAGGGCACCTACTGTGTGCTGAATACCTCATGGGAGTGGGAGACAGAACATCGCCAGGGCACCTACTGTGTGCTGAATACCTGGTGGGGAGTCGGGGAGAGAACACTGGCAGGACACCTACTGTGTGCTGAAGGCCTGGTGGGGAGTGGGGGCAGTGAGGGGCAACTTGTTTTCTGTTGGTTTGTGTCATCATTTCCTTTCCCTTTTGGATTTATTTTTGTTGTTGTTGTTGTTGTTGTTGTTGTTTTAATGTATAAGAAACTGCCTTATTGAGGAAGGAGAATCGCTTAAATGATCCTCAGTGCCTGCCTGTCCTTCTCACTCCTTGGGGAAAAAAAGAAAGAAAGAACATCCGTTCCTTGATCTGTATGCACAGGAGAAACAGAACACCCTGTACTTTTTGAGCAGATAAAGGAGAGAAGAAAAAAGTGCTGGCTCAGCCAGGCAGGGAAGAGGAGGAGGGCGGTAAACAGACACTTGCCTTCTTGCTCCTGCTTCCATGGCAAAGTGGGGGCGTGAGCCTCTTGCCCAGTGCCTGCACCCGCGCCTGGTTTATTCTCCCATGTCCCCAAGCAGGCAATGCCTGGGAGTGTCAAGAAATCAGGCCAACCAGGGCATGAGTGCACCCCCCGGTCCCCTAGCAACTTCATCCAAGATGAAGCCAATTTTCCAGCCTGCAGGCCACTGCCTCCCCCAGCTGCCCAGAGCCACCACCACCCTGACTGAAGCGTCCCAAGAAGCCATACTGGACATAGGAAGGCAGCAGGGGACAGAGAGAGGAAAACAGGGAAGAAAAACCCTGTTCTGTGGCAGGGTCACAAAAGATGGATGAATAAAGACTCAGAATTCAGGTGATCAGAGTGGGCAAAGCCACCAAGCTTTGTGTGAACTGCCACTTCTTCATCCCATCCCCAGAACATCCTCCCAATTTCATTTTGACACCCTCAGAAATTTACACTCTAAGTGAGCTGAGATCAGACCACTGTGCTCTAGCCTGGGTCACAGAGTGAGACCCTGTCTCAAAAAAAAAAAAAAAAAAAAAAGTAAAGAAATTTACATTTCGGAAAGTACCTCCTACTTTTGACCCTGCCAATCCGCCCCTTGGAAATGCCCAGAACTAAACTGGGGGCACTGCCTAACTCCTAGCACTTTCCCCATGGAGGTCAAATCACAGGAGCATCAAGCAGCCCCAAGGCTCAAACCTGGAGGCACCCTTAGTGGGAGACCCTCCTCATTCATCGGGTCAAGCCATGGCAACCCCATAGCCTGAATCACTGTCACCTCCACCCCCAGCTGCCCCAGGAGCACCCCCTACCCTGCCTCCTCCATCTGAGCCTCACCTGTGTGGGTCTCAATCTCCCAGTCCCACCCTCCAAAGACAAGCACAGCTGAGCATCTCACTGACCAGGGAATATAATTTAGCGATTCACTGAGCACCTACTATGTAGCAGGCCTGGGAACGATCTCTGCATGTCAGCCTTGCCCTCTGGACCCAGCTGGCCTTTCTAGCTTCAGTTCTCACTCACAACTCCCCCTAAAACATACAGATAGACCCCCAGCTTCACCAAAGTCTGCAGCCTCCCCAGCCCCACCCACCTAAAGGCCCACAGGAAACAGCCTTTCTCATATACATCAGAGAAGGTGGTTCTGCCAGGTGCGGTGGCTCACACCTGTAATCCCAGCACTTTGGGAGGCAGAGGCGGGCGGATCACAAGGTCAGGAGTTCCAGACCAGCCTGGCCAGCATGGTGAAACCCTGTCTCTACTGAAAATACAAAAATTAGCTGGGCATGGTGGCATGCACTTGTCCCAGCTATTCAGGAGGCTGAGACAGGAGAACTGCTTGGACCAGGAAGGCAGAGGTTGCAGTGAGCTGAGATTGCGCCACTGCTCCCCAGCCTGGGAGACAGAGCAAGACTCCGTCTTGGGAAAAAAAAAAAAAAAAAAGAAAAAAAAGAAACAGAGAAGCTGGTTCTGGGTTCTCTTAACATAGGCAAACCCTTGTGTGACTTCAGGGCTGGGTGTTGCTCGAACCACCAGCAGAGCCTGCTCTATTACTGTTTTCTGAACAACAGACACCCTTGAAATGTGAGTCCCTCCCACTGGTTCTGGTACTGGTTCTGCACTGTCACCTGTCCCCAGCCTACCCCCAAAGCACAGCATCTCACCCCAGGAAATTCTGTTGTCTGTTATCTCAAGAGTGAGGCTGAAGCCCCACAGCCACGGAGCAGGGCTGAGGTCCCAGGTTAAGACTGGTGAACCCCTGCCCAAGGTGAGCGCAGCCAAGCCATGTAAGCGAACCACAGTGGACTTATTCACCCACCTGTGTGTGTGGTGCCCCTTCTTCAACACTGAAGCCCACCTCAGCGTTACCCAAAAATCAGTACATCACATCCCTCTCCAAGAGTGGCTACTGCAACAAAACAGTCCCAGGAGAGGCCAGCCTCCAGTACCCCACACCCTTCCAAGACACCAAACTCTGGCCAGGTGTGGTCAGAGCCATTACAGATGGCATGCCTGTAATCCCAGAACTTTGGGAGGGCAAGGTGGGAGGATCGCTTTAGCCCAGGAGTTAAGAGACCGGCCTGGACAGCATAGTGAGACCTAGTTTCTACCAAAAATTTAAAAATACATTTTCAGACTGTCTGAAACATAAAGAAAAAAATTAAAATTAGGATATTAGCCGGTTGTGGTGGCATACGTCTGTAGTCCCAGCTACACTGGAGACCAAGGAGGAAGGATGGCGTGGGCCTGGGAGTTCAAGATTGCAGTGAGCTATGATTGCCCCACTGCACTCTAGTCTGGGAGACAGAGCAAGACCCTGTCTCTAAAATAAAATAAAATGGAGCTTTAATTTTTATTTTATTTTATTTTATTTATTTATTGAGACGGAATCTCACTCTGTCTCCCAGGCTGGAGAGCAGTGGTGCGATCTCGGCTCGCTGCAACCTACACCTCCCTGGGTTTAAGCAATTCTCCTGCCTCGGCCTCCCAAGTAGCTGGGATTACAGGCATGCACCACCACACCCGGCTAATTTTTATGTATTTTTAGTAGAGAGGGGAGTTTCACCATATTGGCCAGGCTGGTCTCAAACTCCTGACCTTGTGATCTACCCACCTCAGCCTCCCAAACTGCTGGGATTACAGGTATGAGCCACCATGCCCAGCCGAGCTTTGATTTTAAAAAGAGAGCGACAGCCAGGCACAGTGGCTCATGCCTGTAATCCCAGCACTTTGGGAAGCCAAGGCAGGCAGATCACTTGAGCTCAGGAGTTCAAGACCAGCCTGGGCAACATGGTGAAACCCTGTCTCTACTAAAAATACAAAAATTAGCCAGGTGTAATGGCAGGTGCCTGTAATCCCAGCACTCGGGAGGCTGAGCCAGGACAATCTCTTGAATCTGGGAGGTAGAGGCTGCAGTGAGCCAAGATAGCGCCACTGCACTCCAGCCTGGGTGACAGAGCGAGACTCCGTCACAAAAAAAGAGAGAGAGAGAGAAAGCTCCTACTCATTCTCTGGCTCCCTCTAAACACAGCCTATTCCCAAGTGTGCCTGAGCCTTGTCTTTTTCTCAAGGTCACCCTAGGATGAATTTCCTAATCTGTTTCCCAGGGAAAAATGAGGCTTCCAGGAAACTGGCTCACCTGGCTCACTTTCCCTGGCTCCCCTTGGGGCCCAGGACTCCACCAGCTAAAATGCCCCAAAATAGGCCCAGCCCTTCCACCCGCAGTCTCCCCGCTCCTCCAAGCCCCACATCTGCTCATGAGACCTGTCCAGGGCTGCGGTGCCCTGGCAGCAAGAGACAACTCACTTGCACCCTCCCTGACCAACCTTGGGGACTTTAAACCTCTCTTCCCAATGGACACTTCTATTCCCTGAAGACAGCAGCCCCACCTCAGTTTCCCCAGAACCCCCGCCCCCTTTCTCAGGCTTCTAACAGGAGGAGAAGGAGTGGGAGGGAGGCTGGGGAGCTGCTCCAGGGGCACATCTTTGGACTGCATGGAAGTGTGGGGAGGGATTTGGATTCTTGAGGCCCCCAGACAATGCAATTATTCTTCAAATGTAAAAACGCCCAGAAATCCCAGACCAGCTGCTTTGCACAACGGCCCAGACAAAGGGGCTCTGTGTCTGCGGTGAGGCCCCTCCCACTCCTCAACCAGGGAGGGGCTGGGCCCCAACTCCTCCCAGCCAGACCCTCCCCAGCCTCCTCACTCAGGCCAGCCAGGAAGTAAAAGGACTGCGCTGAGACAGGCTGGGCCGTGCCAAGGAGAGAGAAGGGGGAGCAGGTGTGGGGAACAGAGCACGGGCAGCCCATGAGCCCAGGAGACAGAAGGGGAGGGAGAGAACACAGGCCCTGGAGCCCAGAGACCTGGGTTCAGGTCCAGCTCAATTTCTACCTTGCCAGGTGACCGCTGGACCAGTGTGTCTTCCCTTCTCCAGGCCCCACTTAGCCAACACTTCTGAACTCACTCCAAGGATGCAGCCTCTGTACCCCATCACCGGGCACACTTGTCTAAGCCCTGTCTGACATTTAAAGGCTTCCTTTGGTCTTCAAGCTTTCCCATCTGCAAAAGGGATAGGTACAGCTGCCTTGCAGGAAGATTAAATTAGCACAGATAAAAGGTGTGGCCACTACAAAGGCAAGAGAAGGAAGAAGATCCCCAAAAAGACGAGGACAGAAGTCACCTTTCCTAGGGCCCAGAGCTCTGTCTCACTTATAGAAGAACCCCGATCATCATCTGAGCTGAGAACCCAGCCTTCCCCTTGGCCCCAACCCTAATATCAGACTGGACCTTGACCTTGACATCATGCAGGCACCCCACATCTGTATCTGACTGACCCCAACCCAATACTGACTCGGCCTGAGCCCCTCAACCCTGACTCAGCCTGGCCATCCTCCCCAGTGTTGAGGGGAAGTGGGCAGCAGGGGGGTGGCCATTAGCCAGCTCCAAGCTCATGAAAGGGAAAAGCTGTGGGGGCCTCTTTCAGCAGGGTCCCCGCCCCCAGCAATGTCCTCTGGCCCTCACAGGCCAGAAACAGGGAAGGGCCCCATCACCCTGCCTGGCACCCAGACTTCTCTCCAAGTACACTGTCAATGCTACCCACATTTCTTCCCCAAAATCATAAAGTCCCTAAAAGCACAACTTTAAAATGGCTTTGTAAGCCAATTTCATGTGAGAAGAAGGGAGCCTTGGCAGGCATGTGTTGCAAGGAGAGGCAGCCACTGACTCAGTGCATGGAGGGACACAACCAAAGACCCGGCCCTGAAAGACACTGGACCCCGGAGTGGGAGGCCCACCTCCGGGAGAGGTGAGCACTCTGGGGCCCTCTCTGTTTCCCTTGGTGCCCTTCGAGGCAGGATACACCTGCACACCACCCAGGTTCATTGTTTTGAGACCCTTTTGCCTGGGAGGCATAAGGTGATTTTATAGCACCCTGTAGGGGCAGACCCAGGGGACTACTTAACTAGAAGCCTAATTGGGGGTGGAGGAGGGGAAGAAAGCTCAGAAAGAAGCCAGAGAGGCTGGGCAGGCATAGTGACTCACACCTGTAATCCCAGCACTTTGGGAGGCCAAGGTGGGAGGATTGCTTGAGTCTAGGAAGTCAGGGCTACAGTGAGCCATGATCACACCACTGCACTCTAGCCTGGGAGACAGAGCAAGACCTTGTCTCAAAAAAAGAAAGCCAGAGAAAGGGCAGGGTCTTTCTGCTGGGCAGAAAGCTCACTGGGGGCCTTGATGACACTGTCAGTCAGAGAAAAAAACAGGTAGAGATGGGCCGGAATACTACAGTGCCTCCCTCATGCCACACCCCTGCAGCTTTATCCCGAGCCCCACCCTATAGGTCCCACCTTCAGCAAAAATTATCGAATGGATCACACTGTGACAATGGATTAGATCAGGTGCTGGGCACAATTGCTCTGAACACCTATGAATCTTCCAAGCTCTGGGCCAGCCCCACCAGCTCAGCTTCCACCTCCAGGCTCCTCACACCCACGCCCTGCTTCCCATCGTTGTGTATGTCTATCTGCAGCTGTCCCTGGCTTCTGGGTAGACAGTCACCTCTCAACAGGCAGAACCTCCATTCTTCCCCTCAGGTCCCAGACCTTCCAGAGGTAGGCAAGCTCCACGCCCTCTCAGCAATCGGAGATCTGCCAGGAGGACTGTGCCACTCCAGGATGCTCCTAGAGAAGATGAATGTGCCCAGGCAGCAGCCTCTGCCACTACCAGTGTGGCCTTGGGAGAGTCTGTTAGCACTTGAACCTCATTTTCCCCATTTGTCAAATGGGGACAATCACCCCTACCCTGAGAGAGGCCAGCCCTGACTCCCGACCCTATTCACCAGCCTCCTGTGTCCCCAGCAAAGTCTACTGCAGCTTCATTTAATGGCTCTCAGGAGACAACCCCATAGTCTGAATTCCCTCCCTCTGGGCAGGACCTGACACCCCAACTCTGAATTCCCCTCCAGGAAGTCATCAAGGACAAAGGTGTAAGAAAAACCAGGCCTAGCATGGTGGCTCATGCCTGTAATTCCAGTGCTTTAGGAAGCTGAGGCGGGAGAATTGCTTGAGGGTCAGGAGGTTGAGACCAGCCTGGGCAACATAGCAAGACCCTGTCTCTACAAAAATAAAAATTTTAAAGTTAGCCAGGGCATGGTGGTGCACCTGTAGTCCCAGCTACTCCAGGACTGAGGTGGGAGGATCACCTGAGCCCAGTTGTTTAAGGCTGCAATGAGCTATGATGGTGCCACTGTACTACGGAATGGGTGACCTTGTCAAGAAAAAAAAAAAAAAAGAAAGACCACAGAGCCAGTCACTGCCCTGGTGATGACGCTGGTGCAAGACTGCTAACAGCAGCCCAGGTCACTGGCAGGGGAGGGCCAATAGGCGATGGTGCTCACAGCTGCTCACTTCCTTAGAAAAAAGTCTCCTAGGCCGGGCACGGTAGCTCATACCTGTAATGCCAGCACTTTGGGAGGCTGAGGTGGGCGGATCGCCTGAGGTTGGGAGTTCAAGACCAGCCTGACCAACATGGAGAAACTCCGTCTGTACTAAAAATACAAAATTAGCTGGGCCTGGCGGTGCATGCTGTAATCCCAGCTACTCAGGAGGCTGAAGCAGGAGAATCGCTTGAACCCGGGAGGCAGAGCTTGTGGTGAACTGAGATGGTGCCATTGCACTCTGGCCTGGGCAAAAAGAGGAAAAACTCCATCTCAAAAAAGAAAAAAGAGTCTCCTGACACAGCTGAAACCCAGAGAAAGGGAATACTAGCCTCAAGACAAAGGGATCAGCCCTGTTTTTGTTTTTGTTTTTGTTTTGAGATGGAGTCTTACACTGTCTCCGAGGCTGAAGCGCAATGGCGCAATCTTGGCTCACTGCAACCTCCACCTCCTGGGTTCAAGCTATTCTCCTGCCTCAGCCTCCTGAGTGGCCAGGATTACAGGCACCCGCCACCACACCCAGATAATTTTTTGTATTTTTCATAGAAACAAGGTTTCACTATGATGGCCGGGCTGGTCTCGAACTCTTGAGCTCAGGAAATCCACCCACCTCAGCCTCCCAAAGTGATAGGATTACAGGCATGAGCCACCCCGCCTGGCCTCAGCCCTGTTTTGAGACACCCAAGTCACCACAGCCCTTGAGAAACCCCAGGAATAGACACTTCTCTTACACACACATACAAATCATGAAAGCATATTTCCTTATGTTTCATTTGATGACCCAACTTAGTAAATAGTCCTATCCTTTGGGAACACCTTGTAGTACCACAGTTTTCACACAGGTCCTGGGGTCTGAATACCAGTCATTTGAATCCCTACCACTTATTAGATGAGTGATCTAAACCTCAGCTTTCTCATCTGTAAAATGGGGATAAAGTGTGCTGTCACACAGGGGTGTGTGACAATGCATGCAGAGGGCTTATCCCAGAGCCAGCTGTGTGGCAGCAACAGTCCTTATGTTTCCCTACAGGCCCCACTCTGCACACCAGTGGGTGTCACCGCAGGGAAGGCTGAGCCAGGTGACAGGCAGGGATGGGGATGAAGGAAGCCCAGCCAGTAGAGAGGTCACAGAGCCCCTTGCAGAATGATTCCACAGCAGGGCCACCAGGCCTCAGACAGCCACCCTACCCCACGGAGGCACTGTTATGGACTGACAACGGGAAGGACAGGGGATCAGGATAGAAGGGTCACCCCACTATCCTACTTGGTAGGGGTGCTTGGAGCTCCCAGGCTAGGACTGTGAGGCTGCAGGTGCAACACCAGGACAACCTGTGTGGCCACGAGCCTCCAAGACGCCCCTCAGTGATCCCTGCCTCCTGGGATTCATGCTTTGCTGCAGTTCTCTCCCAAGCTGACCACTGCAGCTAACAGGCTATTGCAGAAATGATGGAATGTTACTTCTGAAACTAGACATAAAAGACACTGTGGCTTCCACCTGGCTCCCTTGGGCAGTTTACTCTGGGAGAAGCCAGTCACCATGTGGGAGGACACTCAAGCCACCCTGGGGAAGCCCACAGGGCAGGGAACGGAGCCCTCCCATCGGCAGCCAAACCGTCCTGCCAAGCATGTGAGCGCGCCGTCTCGGAAGCAGATCCTCCTGACCCATTCGGATGACTGCAGCACTGGCTGACACTGTGACTGCAACCTCATGACAGACCCCGAGCCAGAACCACCCAACAAAACTGCTCCCAAATTCCCAACCTACAGAAACTGAGCATAATAAATGTTTACTGCCATTTTTAAGCTACCAGTTTTGGGGTCTTTGGTTAGCCAGCAATAGATAACTAAGAGTCAGCATCTCTCTCTCCCCAGAGACTCCCCAAAGTGGAGGCTGCCAGGTAAACCCTCCCCACCTAATCCCACTCAGGGCCTCAGATCCCTCTGTTCTGAAATGCAGAGCTAGGGTGAAGTGGGCAGGGAGCCCGGCCCAGGCCCTACAGCTTACAAGGCCCAAGAGACAGGAACTTCTCCCCAACCAGTACATTAGACTCACCTGGAGATTTTTACAAATGACCCCTTCTACACCAGGTCATCTAAATTAGACTCTGTGGAGTGGGGTCCAAGCATAGACTTTTTTTTTTTTAGGGATCTACATGATGTTAATGTATAGCCAAGGCTCAGTTGCAGCCTCCCGGCCAGCCCAGAGACAGATCTGACAGTGCAGGAGAGAAGGAGGCAGAGAGAGCCTAAAGGCCAGGCAGTGCCCAAGGTCCCTGCACTCTGGGCTTAGGCTTGGGTCTCCCTCCACCCCACTGCTGCACAGCTCCCAAAGCCCTCTGCACTCCAGAAATACAAAGCACCTCAGGCAGCCAGACGAGGTGTTCATGCCTGTAATCCCAGCACGTTGGGAGGCTGAGGTGGGTGGATCTCCTGAGGTCAGGAGTTCGAGACCAGCCTGACCAACATGGAGAAACCCCGTCTCTACTAAAAATACAAAATTAGCCACGTGTGGTGGTGCACACCTGTAATCTCAGCTACTCGGGAGGCTGAGGCAGGAGAATTGCTTGAACTGAGAAGGTGGAGGTTGCAGGGGGCTGAGATCACACCATTGCACTCCAGGCTGGGCAACAAGACTGAAACTCTGTCTCAAAAATAAAATAAAATAAAGCACCTCAGGCCACACAGATGTCCTTGTCCAACCTTGCTCACATACCGCCACACACAGCTGCACCCTCCTCATCTTTCTCTCTACATCTCCAACACCCTAACACCCTCTGAGGTCCAACCTCTGCACTGGGGCTCCTCCCTGAGAGGACAGGAGCCAGGAAGCTGGGATGGGGTCTAGCTGTGGGTGATCTTGGAAGGACTCCGTTTCCTCATCTGCAAAATGGGAATGACCATCACATCTGTTCTGCTCTCTGCTGGGTCCAGGCTCCTCATGGGAAGTCCTTAGAGAGACCTATATTTGTACGTTTTGTCTCCCCCAAGACACAGCCTTGCCTGGTCCTGCATCACCCCCTGGGGATTCCGCAGCATGGATTAAAGAGACAGGGCTCTGCCCTGAGGCTCACAGCCAAGGAACTCAAAGGTACAGAAATAAGGATCATGGTGAATTCAAGCGGATGGGAAGGAACACCTAAGGGAGGGTGGAAGAGGAGGCAGAAATTTCCAGGAGAGAGATGTGAGCTCCACGCAGGGGAACTACACATGCAAAGACTCAGAGGCGCTGCTAACAGGATCATCTCTCAACCCAGGGTTCCATCGCTGCCCCTTTTCCCTCTCTCCCGAACTCACCTGGACAGGCTTGGAATCCCCTGGTTCCATGCCGTGCACTCTCCTGAGCTTCCTTTGGGCTCAGGAGGGTGGCAGCCGCCTCACCCCACCCCGGGAGTCGGGACTGGGGAGTGGGGAAGCCTCCCAGCATCAGGTGGAGAGAACACACCTCCCGCCTCCGCTCAGGGCCTGCCCCAGCCCCACCTGTGCCGCCCTGCACTTCCTGGGCGAGTCAGCCATGCAGGTTGGCT